CTGTTGTCCAGAATTTGGGACAGCCTTGTGCACAGGAAGGACTTGAAGCTTACATTGCACTGAAACATTGTCACCCCCATCCTCTCGTGCTCCCTCTGGAGAGGGCAGAGGAATCAACTGACCGCTAGGAATGGTCTCTGTCTCCTTGAGCAGTGGGTTCGGAACCGCACCACCAGGTTTTCCCACCTGCTCTAACAAAACCCAATCGCAAGCCTCCAAAGCCCATTCCTGACTGCATCCCAAAAGCAACGGGGATTTATCGGTCACACAGACACCTGACAGGCAGGCAGCGTCTACAGATCCCTCTGAGATGCCCGCCATCCAACACACAGTCATGGCCCTGTGGCGGAACCGAGCAGATCAAAGCATTGCTGTCACTACCTGCCTCCTGTGACAGGGGCGTAGGACAGTCTGCAATCCACAGGGGAGGGTGGGTTGATGGGAGACACCGAGGCAGGGGAAGCGGCTACCAACCACGAAACAGAAGAACCGGGCATGGCCCCCGAGCCAACAGCCCCTGGCATGGAGGGGCCAGCCGCTGGTGACGGGGCGGGGACTGGAGCCATGACTGGTGGCTCGGCAACACGGAGGGATCAGCTGGAGCTTGTGACACCGTGGATGTGACACGCACAGAAGCTGCAGTCATTGGCGACAGAAACGGCGCTGGCTGCTGGCACGCAGCAGGTATCACGGGCACCGGAGCCACAGCGGGCAGGGCAGGAGGCAGGAGTGTCGCTGCTGCCAAAGCAGCAGGCAGGGCCAGAGGCAGAGGTGCTGCTGCTGAGACAGCGGGGGGTGGGAGCCAGAGGTGCCGCTGGAGCCGCCAAAGCAGCGGGCATGGCGAAAGGCAGAACCGTTCCAGCCACGGATGTGGTGGGCGAGGCGCCGAACCCCATTGTTGGCAGAGCTGGCGCCACAGCAGGCGTGGCATGGAAGGCAGGCACCGCCCCTGGTGTGGACATGAGTCCCATGGCAGGGAGGGCAGAAAACGACAACGACCTGTTAGCGATGGGACTCTAAGTCACTCTGACCAGATTAAAGTGGGCTAATTCAACAGAACTCCATTTGATGAACTCTATGAATTTGATAGCCCTCCCTGGCTGCTATCAGCAAGCAACAGTGCCTCTGCACAACACAGCTTTTAGCTCTTGAAAGCTTTGAAAGGGAAAAGTAGGAGATAGCCAGCACGGACTTTGCTATTGCTGTGGCAGACAAGGAAACCTCAAACTGGATCAGAATCCCATGCAGTGCGAGAAGGACAGGAAAGGTTGTGCAGAAGCATCTTTGTCTGCTGGAAAGAGCAAACCAATAAACCACAAGTTGGAAGTGTCCCCTCCTCAGGTGGCTAAAGCACTTGGATGCAGTGAGTTCATGTTTGGCAGGAAAACAGCCCTTGTGGTGAGCACTGTCACGTGTGGATCTATGGATCTGAAGGTCCCCCATGAGCCTCCCGTTGTCCAGGCTAAAGCTCCCTCAGCACATCCTCCTTGGCCTTGTGCTCCACAGCCTTCCCCAGCTCCCGTGTCCTTCTCTGCACACGCTCCAGCCCCTCAAGGGCTTTCTGCTTCAGAGGGGCCCACAAGAGGACACAGCACTCCCAGCTATGGCCGCAGCGCTGCCCAGCCCAGGGGGACGGTCACTGCCCTGCTCCTGCTGCCCCACTGCTGCTGACACAGGCCAGGATGCCCTTGGCCCTCTTGGCCACCTGGCCATGCACTGGCCCACCTTCAGCTGCAGTAGCAAGTAACACATACCAACCCCTGGATTCCCAAAAATCCACTGAGCAGGAGAAGGAGATGGAGCGTGGTGCTCGGCAACAGGGGCAGGTAGGCAGTGCACTTCCAGGACATCCTCAGATCAAAACAGTGTGCATCTTGTCCTTCTCACCCCTCCAGCCCAGCACCAGGCCTTGTATCTCCCGCTCAGGAGCGAGATTTTCCCAGTTACAGCATCAGCTTACACATGGCCGGTGCGTGACATGAGGCCACAATGGCTTCCAATACTGAGGCCATGCCAACAACGGCTCCATTGCGCTTTGCTCCCCTTTCAAACCTTAACTTCCCACCGATTGACCAATACATAGTTTCTCTTTCAAGGGTCATGTTCCCACCTGTTAAACAATAGACTTTCTTCATTGTCTTTTCAACCTGCTCAAATATGGCAGGGTCTTGGACATGACTCTGGTTCCTGACACAGTCATTTGGGAAATATTCCATTCCTTAAATTCTCCTTTGCTGGTCAAGAGCCTCCTAAAAACACTTTCTTCCCTTTAAATGCATTCCAGCTACCTTCTTAGCAGGACCACTCTCTTTATTCTCAAGGCTAAAATAGCTACTTGCACACATTAAGCACTGCAATGGGGCAATACAGGGTTCAGCACTGCCTGTTAAAGCAAAAGGAATTCACAAGCTTAAGGCCTATTTAATACACTTAACGCCTCTCCTTCCTATTCTGGGAATCAAACACGAGCATTTCATCACCCTTCAAGTGCTCTTGCTGAGTGAAACCACATTGCTGTGTCAATACAGCAGCTGGAACTTAGTTTTTTCATGCAGGGAAAGCCAATTCTTTATTCACGCAACTTATTTTTATACCATTTTCACAGACCTCATGTTCAGCTCTAATTGCCTGCTAGTTTTCTTGCCACACAATTCACTACTTAGGTGTTTTTGTGTGGATGTGCTAAGGCTTTCTTTTTTACTCAGGTGTTTACATTTTTCCTTTGTGGACTCTCATTGGATAGATTTCTTGTTTATTACAGATGCAAACAGTTTTCCTACCACAAGAGCTTATTCTGCTAACTGCAGTCATTCTTATGACTTTTCACATGGGAAGTTAGCTAGCTGCACGTAGAAGACATAACAGGCCAGCTGGTCATTTTTAGCAGAGCAAGGCCTGATTTTATAAGGCTTTTCTTTGACAATACCCTACCTGTGTGCAACACATTGTGACTTTCTTTCAGAAATTAAGGAAGAAAACACAGGTTGCCTGCTTAAGTTATTCTCCTCCCTTCCAAATCAGTTCATGACCCAAGCAGAAGCCTCAGGCGCATCCCTGATTCCCTCTCTCCCAGCAGGATTCCCTCTCTCCCAGCAGCTCAGAGCTGCGTTGCACAGCGCTTGCTGTGCGCGAGAGAGCACAAAGCAGGCTGGCCTGCTGGCCCTGAATATTTCTGCAAAGCGCTCTGCAGCTCACAGCTTTGCTGTGGCTCAGTGCAGAACTGCAGGGTTGCAGGTGCTGCGTCCCAGAGCTGTGTGAGGCACTGGCTCCTGCAGCCGTGAGCTGACAAACTGTCCCTGCCTCCCGTAGGCCTCGACTCCCCTGGCACAAGTGCCGTGCCTGAAGGACGCTGCCCTGTGCTCCAGCCTGCCGAGCAGCCTGGCTCCCTGCCCCGGTGCCCAGAGTGCTGCACACACTGCTGACCTTTCCCAGGAGTCCCAGGGCAGCCGGCACAAGAGTGGGAATGCTGAGCCAGGCCACCGGCCCTCGGCTGCCCTTGGCCTTTCTCTCCTCGGGGCAGTCTGCAGACGGCCAATGCCTCCAGGCTGGGCTGTGCCAAACAGGGCTCCGCTTCCCCATGGGAGCTACCGGCTGTGCCTGGGCTCTGGGAGCGGAGGATGCGCCCGCTGCCAGCAAGAGTGTCATGGTTTGACACTGGCACAATGCCAGTGTCCCCATGAAAATGCAGTCTCTCAATTGAATGCTGTGAAATGCAAACGAGAACAGAGCAAAGCAGGCCCAAGCTCAATAACAAGAAAAAACTTTATTAAGCTACTACTACTATACTACTATAGAAGGAAAAAAGAAAGAAAAAAAACACACACAAAAATCAAAATGAAAACCTTCCAAAGCATTCCTCCTCCCACCACCCACCTCCAACAAACCACAGTGAGACACATCCTGGACCCAAATCAGGTTTCCACCCTCTAGACAATTGATTCTCAGTCCATTGAGGGAGAGAGGAGCCCCTCCTGTGCCACAGACCCCCCAAGAAACACAGCTGCCACATCCTGTGCTTCCATGTCACCACATGGCACTGCCCAGAGAAACAAAGTTTGCCAATGGTGACCCTCTCCTTTCCATGCACAGTGCTCTCACCACCAATGCATGGATGGACAGACTGCTTTAAGGATTTTTCCTTTCAAGGATGCCCTCCCAAGAGGGGAAAAACAACAGTTCAGTTTTTCATTTTTGGGACCAACAGTCCCCCCCATTTTCCCCTGGGGCTGAGGGTCCAAGAACAGAGATCTTCTTCTCTTCTTCCTCTCTGAAGGGGGCACCACCAAAAACCTCCCTAACTTTTCTCTGTTCGCTCCACTTCTGTCTTTTCCCAGCTGAAGCAGGTCTCTTTGGCTCACTGGCATCCTCCTAAAATACAGTCTCTCTTGGAGGAGAAGATCAGTTCAGTCTGTGGCTACCAAGAAAAAGTCCAGCCAAAAAGCCACTCCATCATCTCCTCCCACCTAGAATTTCTCTTTCTAACATCCCAGGGTCCAAGCTGTTTCTCTTCCTCTCTTTCAAAACGAGGAGGAGAAAAATTTCACAAAGCTTTCATTTCTCAGGAAGGGTTAAAAGTCCCAACTCCCAGAGATGGCTCGCTGCCCAGGCAGCTCCCTTGCGGCCCCTCCGCTCTTCTCCTTCCCCGCGGTGAACTGCTGATGAAACCGCCGTTGTCTCTTTCTCTCTCTTGAGAGATAGAGAGAGACTCTGGGGGGGAATGGAGACCTCCCAGATTTCTCCACCCTTCCATCTACAGGGGGCCAGCCCGGTTCCAGTCCCTCCACCCTTGGGCCTACCTCCGAAGGCCACATGGCTCTCCCCTCCACCACCCAGCTTGTCGCCGGGGAGGGGAGAGTCTGCACTGCACCCTGACCAGAACCAAAGAGAGTGAGTTCTCCTGGGAATTCTGCTTTTAACACCTCTGTGTTCTCAGAGGCGTGTTTACCTTCAATTGGTCAATGTCCATATTGACCTCTTCCTTCCGGGAAAAATTCTTTTTCCGTGTCAAACCACAACAAAGAGGCAGGCAGGGCCGGGCTGTGCCTCCTGCAGCTACAAGGGCCTCCTTGCAGCCTGCCCCTGCCCAGGCTCAGGCTGCTCTGGGCTCTGCCAGGGCTCTGCTGCGGCTCCACGCCAGGCAAGGCCGGGCCCGCTCTCACCTCACAGGCGCTGACTGCTCTGCACCGCAGGAGACCTTTCAGAGCACCTCTCTGATCTTTCTGCTTTCCCCGCTGAGCAAGGCTCTCCTCCAGCCAAAGACACTGCACTTTGGGATACAAATCCAAGTGGCAGGCACCCAAACGCTCTGGAGTCACAGCTGAAAGCCTGCCTCTGCACAGGATGTTTTGGCTGCACCCTTCCCCCTTTGGTTTTTCCTGCAAATGCCATTGCCCTTTCTGCGTCAACTAGAAATACTACAGCTGGCCAAAAGCTGGCCAGTAGGCCATACTCCAAAGGCAGTGTGATCTGAAGAAGATGAATGAAGAAGAGCCTTTCCCACTTTCATTAAGTATCACTTTCCACCTTTAGGAAACAACAGAAAGTTCAGAAGGAAACAGTAAGCTTATTCAGAGTGAGAAAGAAGGGAATCTTCAAGTTGAGTTGTGGTTTCAGAAACTTTATTAATTTCCAATCCTACTCATCCAAGTCCTATTAGACAATCCTACCCTAACACTAACCCTAACCTACAATCCTACTCTAAGTAAATTGTAATGGTCCTGATGTGATTATCACATTCTAGTCTCCTTCCTCTTCTTCACTGAAACAATCAGTGGCACCAGGCTGGACGCAGGCTCAGCAAATGTTATAAATGGATGCTGCCCAAAAGAGAAAAAAAATCAACAAAAAACAATGAACCATGACTTTCCAAGCTCAGTATTTCACAGGATTCTTCTGGCTCCTAGAAAAATGCAGAAAGAGGACCAGTGGGACCATCTGCACCTCCATTTTTATGTGCAGGATGTTTCCGTCAAGGCAAACCTGGCCCAGAATCCCACTCATCCTTTTATTCTGGTTTCTCCATCTTGCTGGGATTTTTGCCCTGCCAGTGCCCTAGAAATGGTGCTTTCTGTCCCTGGGGTTTCTTCCTTCAGGAAGCTCCAGTGACTCCCATATGTCCCTGTCTTGGAAAGACAGGCACCATGCTAACTTCCACAGGCACACAAAGCAGTGTCTGCCTTTCCATGCCCTGCCCCTCCTGTGCTGGATGGCACCTTCCTTCCCAGCAGGGCCAGCCGAGTGGCGCTGGGTCCTGCAGTTCCCTCTCTGCCACACAACCTGGCAGACAGCCTGGGCCAGTTCCCCTCTGCCTGAGCGTGCCAGGCAGCAGATGGGGCTGCGACAAGTCCCTCTCAGCTGTCCCTGTTTGTGTGCCAGAAACCTCTAAAGGGTGGGGTGGGGGGCACAAACCAGGGTCCCTCAGAGGCTCACAGTGAGCCCCTCACAGCCCCTCCTGCCCACAGCCAAATCTCTCCAGACTGCTCTGCCAGGACTGGCAGCCTTGGGTTCCTCCGCCACCATTTCATGGCTCTGTACCCTGCATTGCTCTACTTCAGTTCTTTTGCTGTTAGGTAAAACAGAACACACCATCAAATTACAAAACAGGGTGACAGAAACAGAGGACAGAGTGCCTCTCCTCTGAGGACAGGCTGAGAGACCTGGAGTTATTCAGCCTGGAGGAAAATAGACCCCAGGGACACTTCATTGCTGAGTTCCAGTACTTCAAGGGGATTCTCAGCAAGTAGGGGATACCTTTTTTTAACAGGTTCAATTGCAATAGGACATGGGATAGTATTTATAATATATAATGGGGATTGAGTCAGATTAGATCTAAGGAAGAATTCTTTCCTTGGAACACGGTGCCACACTGGCACAGATTGTCCTTAGAGCTGGTAGGTGCCCCATATCTGGGTAGGGATGGGGCAAATATTCCAGGTCAGGTGGGACAGGGGTCTGAGCAACCTGATCTCTTTAAAGATGTCCCTGCTCATTGCAGGACACTTGGACCAGAGGACTTTACAGAGCCCTGCAAGCCCAGCCCAGTCTAGCACTCCTCAGCATTTTAATTTGAAGAGCACCAAGAGTGGAGGTGAGGAGGAAGGGGGCTCATCTGATGCCTTGGGCCTCAGTGGAGGAGGAGCCCATCCCTCGGACACTCTTTCACCTCAGCCCCTTGGCATTTTTTTACCATCTGCAGGAGATCCTTGGAAGACCAGTGCCGTGCCTCGTCTGTTTGCAGGCAGCAGCTCAGGAAGTCATGCAGGGAAGGTGAAAATTGGTTGGGCTGCTGCAGTTTTGGTTTCCCTCTTCTGGCTATCAGGAGCTGAGGCTGGGGAAAAAGGAAACATGAGGCTCCAGCTGCTTCTTTGCCATCTGTAACTGCTCTCCCTGAGCCCATTGTTAAAGCTCCACTATGCAGGGCAGTTTCTGACCTGATAGAGACCCAGGGATGACTTTCCTTTACCAACCAAAAACCTAAAGCCCGATGCAGCCACAGCTTTTCCAACATTCAGCAGATCTTGCCTTGGCAGCTGATTTCATTAGTTAGTGGGAACTACATCAGCAAAAAGCACGTTTTGCTTCTCTGAGGATTTACACCAGCCTGACAGGCTATTTGGAAGGGGGAATTTGCTCTATCCATACTATTTCCAATGATTATTACATGAAAGGAATCTTTTCACTGCTTGTTGGTCCCTTAAGCACAGCTTCCATGAAACAAAAATCATCAAGTTTGTTTTTCTCCTCTTAAAAAAAATGCAGATGCAGAATCCATCTAAATCGGACAGAAATAGCAATGGAAAGAGGCCTGGGAGTCTCCATGAAAACGCCCATCACAATAGTAACAGCTCTGTGCTGGTGGCACTGAAAAAGATGGTGACCAAAGAGACTTTGTTACTTTCTTCTCTAACCCAGAGTAAAATTTCCTTCACTTTTCCCACACCCCCAGAGGTCACAAAGGGGGTTTTATCCTGTCTCTCTGCAACTGAGCTCAGCCACTGGACATGGTGGGGAGCTGGAGTCCTCACTGTCCTTAGAACTGTGCAAGCCAGGGATGGCCCTGCTCCTGTGGTAAAGGAACACAGCAACGGCATCAACCGCTTGCGTTGGATCCCAGCCCCAGGCACCGGGCTGCAAGCTCATCAACTTGTTACAGTACCCAGAAACAGCCAAGGGTTTAGTGTACAATTCTAACTGCAGCCAGAGAAAAACACATCCGAAACTTACCCAGGCCACCCACACACATGACTGAACAATGTACAGATGATTTGAAAGTCTGAAAGTTGTGAAGACCCACAAGATTTAGAAAAGATGGTATAGTTTGGAGGAAAATTGATGTGCTTTGGTTAATAAAGGGAAAAGCAAGCAGAATTGCTTGGGCATTGCTTTGGTGGTTTTTATCTTTTATCTTTTTTTTCTTTTTCTTTTTTCCATTTCCCATTTTCATTTTCTTTTGCTTTTTTTATTTTATTTTTAATTTTATCTTCCTTTCCCCCTTTCTTTCCCTTTTTCTCTAACTTTTTATTTTTTCTTTTCCCTTTTCTCTTCCTCTTCCTTTTCCATTTTTTTCTTTTTTCTTTTTCTATAAAATTGAAACTAGGAAGATTCAATCTCCATTTTGAAGGACATTTATCACACATCCAACCATTCCACTGAAAAATTCATTTCCTTCAGAGACAGAGCTCCAACATTGTTTAAAAAGCAAATGAGAAGTATCAGGCATGCCTGGAGGCCAAAATCGCAGGTTGCTGAACTGGTTAGGTTTCTGAACTGGTTACCTTCCTCTTCCCTTCTGATGCAACCAAATCGACTGCAGATGCTGATGTGCTGCAGGGACATTTTTAGAACAGGACCTTGGTGGAAATGGTGCCAGCAGATGGCAATAGGACTTTGTCCAATGGCACACAGAACATGAGACAGGTGAGAAAGACAAGCGGGATCAGGGAGTATTTGCACCTTACCGAAACAGGAGTTTCATTCCAATAAGGAACTTCTTGTTCCACCATTTCGATGCCCACGATTCCAAAAGACCATACGTCCGCTTTGGGGCCATATGCTTGACCTGTCACCACTTCAGGTGCCATCCACCCAGAAGTGCTGGCCACTGAGCTCCGTCTACTCTGCTCAGGGGTGAGCTGAGCAGAGAGGCCAGAGTCAGCTGTGGAGAAAAAAACATACCATGAAAGCCAGCTCAAGTTAAGAAACCAAGCAAAAGAATTCCCCACTCTCAGTCTAAGAAAGCACTATGTCATCTGCTGAAAATCTGTCCCTGCTCTGTTTCCTCAGGGCTTGAGCCAAGGAAATATGGAATTGGCCACTTCAAGAAACCCCCTCATTTTTTAGACTACCTCCAGCCTTTATTTTTCTGAAGCTTTAGACTTGGAGCTCCCTCCCTCTGGAAGGGTCACACACCAACCAACGCCCCTCTTGACTTCTTGTTCCTCGTCATACTTCTGTGCACGTTGCAACTGTGCCCATAGTTTGCAGCAGGGGTCCCTGCACTGCCACCAGCACCATTTCTGGTGAGCTGGCAGTCACTCAAAGCAGCCCCTCACCCCACATCCCTGAACGCTGCACCTGACCAGGAATATACTGACCCAGCTTTACAGAACCGTCGGTTCTGAGAAGGATGTTGCTGCTCTTCACATCTTGATGGATCATGTGGTTTGAGTGAAGAAAATCCAGTCCTTGCAGGCACTGAGAGAGAAAACAGAAACAGGAGGGCAAAAATTAGTGATGTGATTTCATCATACAAGAAAGGAAACAGCTCTAAAACATTCCCATTCCCCAGGGGAATGGCGAGTAATAGCAGAACACAGTGCCATTGAGAGGAAGAGTTGCTGTTCCAACACTTGCAGAGCAGGACATTTCTAAGGAAAGGCATGTCAGCTTTTGAAAGGGCAACAGCACCTGCTGTTGTAGAGTGTCCCCTGCAAACCAACCAGGATGACTGCTGCTGTAGTGGATGTGCTCTCTCCAAATGAGGGTTTGCCAAGAAAGAAAAAGTCCCTCTCTGTGGTGTGAAGTGAATCACTTTTGGGGTGGGAGGCTGCATGATAAAGGTTTTATTGCTGGCATCAGCACAGGCTTGGAAGTATCACATCAGTCACCTTCCTGAAGCAAACACTATTTTGTGTGACTACTGTCCTTTTCAGCTAAGGACGGTGTGAAATAGGTGTCTTTTTCTTTGCCATTCATTTCAAATCCTGCCATCAGCACCTTTGCTTTTACAGGCAAGGAATGCAGTGCAGACAGGCTCGAGGCAAACGTTTAGAGAGGCAAGGTGAAGAACGGCAAATACACAAGAGAGAGTGAGAATACAACAGCAGAAGGTAAGAGTACAGGAACAGAGTACAGTGAGTGCAGGGGCACTGGCAGGCAGTTCCCTTGAGATGCTTTTACTTGCCCATAGCATACCAGCAACACAGAAACAAGGCTTTATACATGAAATCGCTCCAGGTCTGAGCCCCTGTTTCCCAGACAATCCTGCCCAAGCCCTCTGAACCACAGGTGGGATCCCTGACCTCCTGACTGATGGCTGCCATTTCGTCTTCACACAGGTAGGTCTTGCTGATGACATCGCTCAGAGTGCCTCCGTCCATGTACTCCATAACCAGCCAGAGCTGCTCGTCCACAAGGCAGCTGAAAGAAGGAAACAAGGAGTGGAGATGAACATGCTTGTTTGAAAACAACAGCGTTGCTGTTGGAAAACATCAAGGGTTTTTTTCTGGGTGCCTTTGTGACGAGGACAGAATAAAAGCAATAGACATTCCCTCTTGGCTGTGCATTGTTTGCAATCTGTGCAGTCTCAAGGAGAAAGGCACAGCTGTGAAAAAGGAGATGTCTTAGGTGGGCAGCAAGCGAAAAGTGTGGTTTAGTAACAGCCCAGATAAAAAGCCTGTCACAGATGCTATTTCTGGAAATAAACACCTAGTCTTCCTGGCATGCATAGCAATGGAAAAGGGACAAGAATCCAAGGGAAATCCTCTCTAGGATGGTTTATCAAAACTTAAAAGGTGCTGAGAAAAATTTGGAAAAAATCAAGCCTCAAAACAATGTGGAGGCAGTGAATTTACAGGGTATTGAATTAGTAAGATAGGGCTGATCCAGGTTTTTGAAAAATTTTCAAACTGCATTTGCCAGGGTAGTTTAATGCAGACAAAATGCACTCTCTTCCCATCCATTAGAGATAAGTTGAAAAATAATAATGAACCAATAATTACCAGCTCTATTTTCTCCCAGTGACCAAAGTGGGTTTTTAACTTTGCATGCTTGCATTATGTCAACAAACATTGCTGGGATAAAACAACAACCATTCACCTCTTTAAATAATTCACAATGTTTGGGTGCTTATTCATTTTCATGACCATGAGTTCATTAAAGTCTGCTTCCTTCCTGATCAGTCCTTGAAGATTTATTTTCTTTATAGCCACCTAAAATGATGTTGAAAATCAGTAACATTAAAAGCTGGTGGCATGAGAACAACTTCTCACATGGAGTGAGGGATTTTGGAATGAATCAGCCAAACTGTGCCAAACTGCCTTGTGATTAGGCATGGGAATGGGAACAGACGTTCCAACAGCCCGTTTCTCTGCTCCTTGGGGGCCAGTTACAGGACACACGGCCACTGAGGTTTTGTCTTGTCCGCTTGGTAACAATGATGTCTCAGCTATCACTCACAAACCTCTGACCACACTCCCTGCTGCTTTGTATGGGATTCAGAAGAAGTAATCCATGCCTTAATACTCTGTGGATACTTCTTGGGCTATGGGCAGGGTTTAGGGCTTTTAGGGATGCCTTTCAGATCTCTCCCTCTGTGCAGTTCCCAAGTGCAGCACTGCAGGTGGCTAAGCAGCTACCAGTAACTTTCAGATGTATTTGCTGGAAACCAGAAGTGAGAATTCAGGACTCTGAAACTGTAGCCCCAAAGAGCAGTGAGATGCTCTAAGGCACCACCTTTGTTTTAGCAACTGAGAGCGAGTGAGCACATCCTTCTCTGAAATGAACTCTTGCCCTCCTTGCGTTCCTTCTGGCAGCTGAGAAGGACAAAGACTGCCCCAAATATATTTTGCAGGCTGGTACCAGTCTGTGCTGTTTGTGCCTTTTCAGCATAGCTCTACTCAAAGCTCCGGCCACAGCTGCTCACACCAGAGGGGAAAGCCCTTGAGTGCAGCAGAGTTTGTGGGGGCTGTTGACATTTACCTCTCCTCCTGTGGCAGTGTTGAGTGCTCTACAAACATCTCCAAAAGTCCTAGAAACAAAATAGTAGCAAAGAAAGAAGAGCCATTTAGATCTTGCAGTGAAAGCCAGCCCACATATGAGATCTCTGCTGTAAATGCCTAAGACCTGCAGGACACTGTAGCATGGACATGTCTCTGGCAATGCCTTCTGGCCACACTTAAAAATTCTGATCAGCACTGACAATCTAACCCCAGTGTCTGAATATGTTTGCAGCTTGTCTGACTTCACACTTGGTGGATATTCCACCAACAAAACACCTGGTGCGTAGTTTTGTAAAATTATCACTGGTTGGACTTCCCACTGCCAATATTTTCCAGTTGAATGTATTTTATAATGGGATTTTCCATCTTCACCATTCTCCCTGAGGAAAACAACATGCAAGATGTTCACTTTAATGCAGAGATCGCAGCTTCCAGGAGATACAAAAGGCAGCCCCTATGTCTGAGGCTCTGAGCCCTGTGTGAGCAGCTGGCTGACAACAAGAACAACAATAGAACAGGAACAAGAAGAAGAAGACAGGCAGCTCTGCAGCACAAGTGGCGGGCACAGAGACTGATTTTCTAGCGTCCTTCAAAGAGAGAGAGGTCTTGACAGCAAACACACAGGGAAGTACAGGGAGATATATTCAGAGGAGACAGAGACCAGAAGACGACAGCTACCAAGGCAAGTAAGTTTGTCATCTAGAAACATTAAGGAGAGCTGGAAATAACAAAGCCTTTGTTTTCTTGGGAATAAACACTGTGAGATTCAACAAAAGGTTTCCTACTTGCTAAGATTAAATGCACCTTGATATCTAGAATCAACTCCTCTGAACACATGCCAAGTTCAGAACAGGAGGAATATTGCCAAGCGTTCCCATCTTCTCCACTTTGCAGTAGTTTGCCAGAAGAATGCCTCTGTGTTTGTAAACCAGAGCAGCTCATGCTATAACCAATCCCAATGGGGCTTTCAGGACCAGAACCCTCACTCTTTATGAGCAGGGTGAGCTCAAAGATGCCCTTGCCTGTGCCCTACATGAAGAACCACACTGCTTCTCTTCACCCTGAAGCGTGGATCAGTCACTCCCATTGGACTCGCCCTCTTGGCAGCACACAAGTCCCCATCTTCCCAACTCAGCACGGCGGGCAAGGGCAGAGAGGACAGCAGTGCTCCTCAGGCGGCAGCATGACACACACAGCTGCCCAGAGGAGATGCTGACCCTCTCATGGGTCCAGGCCATGCGACGCAGAAGCCGGCCCAGACAAGGGGCTGCTGGCTCAGGCAGCTCCATGCTGCAGCGGCCAGGCAGCATCGGGCCTCTCCTGGCTAAGGAAGGCTCCAGCCTCTGCACTCCCACCAGCCCTCAGGGCCAGGACAGCTGCCACAACAAGGCTGGCAAAACCCGAGGATGAGCACTGACAGGCACTGATGGGAAGAAGCCAGAGCGAGCCTTTTCCTCCCAACAGGTGATGGCAGACACAGCATCAACTAGGCTCTGTTCTCAGCCCCACCAGGTCTTATCTGAGAGCACAGCACAGGCAGCTGTTATGGGCCAGAAGCAGAATCAATGCCTTGTGCTGAAGAATCACAAAGGGCTTGATGTGTTCTCCTAGAGACTGATCTGAGCAGGGGTTCTGCTGATGGCTAGGACTCAAGTGGTCACAGCCTTCTGCTGATCCAGGAGCAATCCCTGCTTCTGCCTTCAGCAGAGAGGGAAGCTCAGGCAAACTCCAGCCAGTCCAAGGTGCCCTCAGAGGCAGCAGGAACACCCAGAGCGCTCTCTCGCTGCCTCAGAGCACTGTCAGCACTTCCTGTGGGGAGTCCTAAATGTCCCTGTGACACCAAACTGAGGAGGACTGTCTGGTACAGCTGTGCTGACACCTGCACACAATACACTGTCCCTCAGGTAACAAAGACACCAGACGTACTCTGTTGCTCCTGGGAGTCACCATCGATCTCCTGTTGCTGAGCAGCAGCTGGGTCAGCGCGGGACATGAACCAAGTGCCCCGACTCCATTTCTCCGGCTGGGAAGCAAAGGCTCCTTGGGATGGCGCTGTTGCTGCTGCAGCAGGTTCAGTGACAGAGTTTGTGTCACGAAGGTGGCTGGCAGAAATTGCCCCAAGATCCCATTTCAAATGCAAGCCCTTTGGAAGCTGCTGTCAGCCACATGCAGAGCTCTTCAACAGGACTGGTTTGGATGTCCACTTGTAAAACCAAAAGCTGGTTTTACTTGAGTTCATAGCTGGTTTCATGTTCTGAAGGATGACTGCAGCAATGACCTCTCCACTTCCTCCCAAGGACTCCTTCCCCCCTTTTAGGCCTGCAGACACATTGCAGCTCCTCCTTCTAGTGTTCTACCTCCTTCCATGGAATTCTGTTTTCCTGTAGCATCCTCAGGATGTGCTTATCTTGCAGCATCTCAGGTTGGTACAGCTCCTGTGCCTCACGCCAGCCTCGGGGTTCTTGATCACCCGTCATTTCCTGGAAGTCTTTGCAGGCTGCCAGGTAGGACGACAACACTTCCACCTCAAGTCAAAGAGAACAAATCAGTCAGAGACTACAGCTTGTCCCCGTCAGCCAGGAGTCATCGGCTGTGAGGAAAGGGAAAGAACAGAACAGGAGCAGATTCACAAGGGATACAGACAGCCTGTAGCTCATATTCCAAATCTATCCGAGTGACCATGTTCACCTGCAAAAACACCTCAAGAAACAAGGAGAGCTGGAAGAAGCTAGCAGGAGTTAATTTGGATGACTGCTGGCCACGTGGCCAAAGGAGTAATCCCACTCTCCAGACCATCAGGTGAGATCCAGCAGGCCAGGAATTGTCCTTCAGAGCAGCTGTGATAGAGGCCTCAGAGGGATGATACTCAGAGGCATCACTCCACCCACCTGCTGCTCTGCAGAGAAAAGACAAGGAGGGCAGAAACCACCAGTTTGGTGACTGCAGTGGCTATTTCACTCACTTGCTTTTCAAGAGTATTTTGCTCCTGAAGGAGGAGATTAATTTTCTCTCTGATGATTTCAATTTTTTTGTCTTGCTTCTTCTCCCTTGCCTTGATCCTAGCCTCAGCTTCCTGCAGCTCTGCCTGCAGCTGTTCATCAATGTTCCGTAAAGAACAAGAGAGAGGAAGTTTCCTGAGTGGAGTGGCTGCTACTCTTTCACTCACCTGGTTTTGTTGATCACCCCTCTGCTGATGGAGATTCTTCTTCTCTTGGATGGTTCTCAAGTCTTCCTTGTTCTTCCTCTTCACTGCCATAGTGTCACTCTGAGCTTTGGGCAGCTCTGCTTGTGGCTCTGCCTTGATGTCCTGTACAGACAAATGCAGAGAAGTGACTGGGAGCTGCCATCAGGCTCAGCTTTTTCCTCTTGCAGCCTCAAAATCACATTTATTCAGCCACTTCTTTCTGCTTCCCTACCCTCCTCTGCTTCCAATGTAACCCTCCTGTCCCAGTGCTGATCTCTGCAGATTCCAAGGCTCTCTGCTTTCAGTGCCTCTGAGACTCCTGGCCTCCTCAGTCCCAAGAGCTCCATTTTATGCCCCTCTTCCTGCCCTTCCCTCTGACACCTGGCAAGTCAGGCTTACCTGGTCGTTCTCCTGTGGCTCTTCCACCTGCTGCCTGAGCTGCTCTTCCTGCTCTCGGGCTGGGAACAGCTCTCCCTGATTCTGCCATGGCATCTCTGATAAAGCAGGCTGCTCCTGCTCTTTCTCTGGAAGGACCTGCACAGAAAGCAAGAGAAGATGGGTTTCAACTTTACATGTGGCACTTGTGGGCCAAGACTCAATGACTGATGGGCTCACACGTTCCCAAAGCACTGCAGTGCTGCAGCTCCCCTGGTCATTCTCTGCCCGTGGGGAGGCACAGATTCCAAAGTGACCCTGGCACTGCAATCTGGGGCCATCTGGGGCTGAAGCTCCAACAGCCTCTCAGGCAGCTGACAGGGAAGGTGTGTCATTTCTCCAGGTTCTGCTGAGGGCCTCCCTCTGCTCCTGCCATGTCCTGTTTGTCTTTCAGTATGACTGACACCCCACCCGCTCCCACAGCTCCATCCTGGCTCTGCAGGTGACTTCCTGGGTGAGCTCAGCCCTTGTGAGAGACACTTCTGGAGTTCCTGTTCTCTTCAGGCCTGCACCAGCATTCTTGCCTTTCTCACATCTACACTCTTGTTAGAAATGCTGGTCATTCAGGAGATAAGGACACAGGCAAAGGTCCTCTGATGGAGGTCAGAGAGCCTCTATGGCCACCTCAGTATATGGAAGAGGACCAAGGTGTTTCTTCTCCCTCTTTTGTTAATTGGGAAATTTGACCAGCAGTCACAGAGACTCTCATAAGGCCCTATTAATGAATGCACTTTCACACCCTTAGGAATGCCAGTGAAGGAAACATGAGTCTTGAATGCATGTATGAGCAAAGTCACCAGACCTCAACTACAGCATGGGATAGTTCCACACTCTTAGGACATGTAAAACTTTAAAGGATAAAAAGGAGGCTTCAGGGCAGAAAGGCTGGAGGAGGAAAACATGAGGGGAAAAAACAACCACCTCTGGAGGGGGAAACATCTCTGCCTGCTCAGGATCAGTCAATGGAACTTGTCTCTCCTCCTCCCCTGAAGGGATGCCTTTAGGTGAGCTTTGCATCATCAACTGCTTTGGAGCAGAGCCAGGAAGATTCAGATAGATAGATAGATAGATAGACAGAGAGACAGATCTCCCATTTTTTAATCTCTCTTTACTATCCTTTCTATTGCTAGACACATCAACACTTGGTGACCAGTGCCCCAGTCAGCACAATCCTGAACTTTCTCTCCTGTTCCTTCAATAAACCACACTCTCAGGAAATCTGGAGCATTTAGGTGCTTATGGAATGCAATCAGATCCAGAGCACTGCACTGGGAACTGCACTCTTGCAGCATCTGTGTTTGGCCAAGTGTTTCTCTTCAACTTGACCACACTGACAGTGTTAAAGGCGCTGCAATCAGAAATAAAGCCCAGCCCCTCCCAGCTCCTCTGATCTCTGAGGACCAGCAGAGGTGAGGAATGCAAGGTCATTGATTTCCTGCACAATTCCCAAGCACAACACACTGATTCCCTGGGCTGCAAAAAGGCACAGGAGCTGTTAACCTGAAAGTGATGTGCAAGGCCTTACTTGCTAGCCTGGCATCATAACAGCTCCTTCAGCAGCAACATCCTTGCCCCAAACTATGTGTTCTCATGCAAAAATACTGCATCAGCCAGAACTGCCTCCTTGCAAACTAAAATTCGAACAGAATCTCTGCCAGTCCTGGAAAAGGGCAGGAAAGATTGAGAAAAAGCACCTTTGCTTGCTGGAAAGAGAGAAATTACACAGGGCTTCTCCCTCTAGCAAACAAACAAACAAATACACAAACAAAAATATGAATGTTTCACTTACTCCAGTGTCTAAAGTTCTTAGATGCAGTGAGGGCATGTTTTGCAGCCCTTGAGGTGAGCACTGGATCTATGGATCTATGGTAGGGATCTATGGAAGTGTGCCTGAAGGTCCTTCACAAGCCTCCCGTTGTCCAGGCTGAAGCTCCCTCAGCACCTCCTCCTTGGCCTTGCGCTCCACAGCCTTCCCCAGCTCCCGTGTCCTTCCCTGCACACACTCCAGCCCCTCAAGAGCTTTCTGCTTCAGAGGGGCCCACAAGTGGACACAGCACTCCCAGCTATGGCCGCAGCGCTGCCCAGCCCAGGGGGACGGTCACTGCCCTGCTCCTGCTGCCCCACTGCTGCTGACACAGGCCAGGATGCCCTTGGCCCTCTTGGCCACCTGGCCATGCACTGGCCCACCTTCAGCTGCTCTTGACCGGCACCCCTGTGTCCTTTTGGCCCATGCAGCCCCCAAGCACAAAGAGTCCTGTTTGTCTTCAAATACGGCATCCAGAATTTCAAGGTGTACATCCTAGTTTTAGCATTACAAGACAACAGTCAAGGACTCACAGCTTTGCTCCCACTCGAGGCTCCAATGCAGTTTTCAAATGTAGTTTTCAAAGTAGACTACACAATAGAAAGGATCAACAAACACATGCAGCCTCTGGCTTTTTCCTCAGAAGAAAGGTTTAGAACTACATCATTTGGGTTTTTTTGCCACATGGGACAAGAGTGGCCCCCCACAGCTTCATGGACAACACCATCATCTCCTTGCAGCTTATCAAGAGCCAAAAAACAGGCAGACTCAGAGCACCTGTCTGCTCTGCTACTGGCTGCTCTGCCTGAAGAGATATAAGAACAACCTGGCAACAAAGGCACCAAAATCCCTGACTTCAAGCAGCAACTCTGCATCCCCAGTGTGTCTCTGAAATACTCCCAAGTGAGCACACCCAAGAGGTTTGTAGGGACAAAGCACCACAAAGAGCTTGTGTGGTCAGATCAACCTTATTTGTGCCTGCAGCTACTTGACCAGTCTCTGGAGGGGGACAGGGCTCTCCAAGCCACAGTGTCCCCTGTGTATCTGAGAAGGCTGAGCGCAGTGTCTTCGACATGCTCCCTGCTCTGGGAACAGAGAGCCTTCATGCTCCAGGCTGGCCCCTACCAGAATGCCAGGAAGCTGGGGCCTAAACATGACAGATCAAAGCCCATTTTCCAGCTGTCACAGGCTGCAGGAAATCGCTGCGTCCTGGCAGGACTCCAGCACTCAGCATACTCAGCCAGCAACAGCAAGTGCTGGCTGGTCAGAAACTTGCCACTCTGCCTTGCACTGAAGGCAGCACCACCCACAGCTGGCACTTACTGGCTCACAATGTTCAGGCTGTGGTGTGACCACAGCTGGAGCCTTGCGGTCATATTGCTCAATTTGCTCCTCTTCAGCTTCTCCAGGAGCAGAGGGAGCCGGGGCAGAGACCGCTGTTGGTTCTGTGATCTGTGGACAGACAGTAGTGTGAGGGACATCATTTATAACCTCCTTTATAACCTCCTTTCTATTCAGCACTTATTTCTATTCAGTTCTATTTCTACAACCAGCTCTACTAAGGACAAATCAGAAACCTTGATAGCAATGGGATTCTAAGTCACTCTGACTAAATTTAAATGGGCTAATTCAGCTGAACTGCAATTTTTCTGAATTAGATATTCCACCCTGGTTACTATCAAGAAGCAACATTCTCTCTGCAAAACTGAGCTTTTCATTCCTTGAAAGCTCTGAACTGGAAAAGTAGGAAGTAATCAGCAATGCCTTTGCTATTGCTGCTGCAGATATGGAAATGGCTTTTCTTTCAGCCTGCCCAGCTGGCCCTCTACACTCTACTGCCACAGGCCAAGCTGACAGCTTGCTCCACAATTCTTAACACCATGGACATGAAATGTTCCTTTCTCACTCACCTCAGGATTTGCACCTCTGAATACATGGATCAGGTGGCCTGTAGTGGGCAAGAAAAAATGAACCATACGCTGTGAGAAAACTGCCTGGGCTGGAGAATCCCACAGAAGAGAAGAAGTCAACCCAAACAGAGATTATTTTCCTTTCTCAACATTCCTCCAGGAGACGCATTTCATTCACACAGCCAGCAAGAGATCAGGACCATATTCTTGGTTGTACCTACACTCTGGACTCTTTAGCCAGTAAATGAATACAAGCATGATCAAGAAAATGCAAATTGTTCTTTAACACTCAGTGCTTCTGTTCTGTCCAACAGAAAAAGCAGCTTTCGTTGTCTTCTCTTTCAGGTACATTTTTTAAAAAAAGAAGTTGCATGCACTAATTCCCATTAAGTTGCTGAAAACAGTTGCCCAGAAAAGCTTCCCCAAAATCCCCCTGAGCCCTGACAGTTCTATTGTGAAAGAGCACAGCAGCAGCTCTGGTGTTCTGGAGCAGACAGTCACTGCTTTGGAGTTTGCATTTCACTGCAAAGGAAATCTCTATTTTAGCATGCAGTCAAGAGTCATGTTAGGCAGTCAAATCCCTTAATGACAAAATGTAGAAAGAAAGAAGCTTTCCCTCAGTTCTGGGGAGAATTACAAAGTCTTTAGAAGGCCTTCCAAGGAAGTCTTCATTTACATTTTCAAAGCTGTCTTGCTGGTCCCAGCAAACTGAGGAAATGACAGACTGCTGCCTCAGACTCTCCCGTGGAGGGAATAGGACCCCTGCAGGTTCCCTTGCAAATGCTGCCCCTGTGGCTACAGTAATACCCTTGTAGCTGAACACCTTGACAGGAGCTTTACCAAACCAGTTGCACACTAATGCTCTTTCTGTTTAAAAATAACTCAGGCACTAAGAAAGAGCAGGAAGACATACAAAAGCCATGTTCGGGTACACCCAGGGAAAACCTCGACTTACGTGCCAGGTTAGTGAGGTAATAGCCAGAATAACAAACACGGTAAACTGCAATAGCTGCAGCAGCAACCTTCTCAATCATTGTAGCACTGCTGTGCAGATTTGCTCCAACACTAGAAAAGACAAGGCTCTCGCCAGTGCGCAGCTCCCACTGACAAACGCCTCAAGCAGGAGGATGCTCCTGCCCTGAGCAAGCCCCAGGGCTGCTCTGACACTGAGGCCTTCCATGCACCAAGACAACCTTCTGATGTCACCATGACCACATGGCAACCATGCCCTGACATCACAATGCAAACACTCTATATTGGCCTGTGAATTTATGCAGAGCAATAACCAACCTTCTGTACAGCAAGCGCAAAATAACCGGGGAAGTTCTCCTCTGTCACAAAGCAGCACAAATTCCCCTTGTGGGCCAAACCCTGTTGTTCAAGGGATCCAAGAGTAACTCCAAGAGTGCACCAAGCACCCACAGCCTGTACCCCAACTGAGCACTCTGATGGGACCCAAGCAAAGGAAACCAAACCAAGAAAATGGCCCAAAGCATTGCACAGAACCGGGAGAGAAGGCATAACAGCTGAAATAGTTCCTAACAAATCTCCCAGATATTTGCACATTTATTGGATATGCCCAGGGCTCCTGAGCGTGTACGTCTCTGCCTTTTTTTCCTTTTGGAAGCGGTCAAACTGGCAGCATCTGCCTGCCAGCAGGAGCTGCTCCAAGCTGGGAATGCCACTGGTGGTGCTGATTTCCAGAGGCTTCTGTGTCCCAGGAGAAGCCAAGGCAGGAGCGGGTTGAAAGGTGCTGGCACTGCTGTTGCTCTGTGCCAGAGAGCCCCAGCTGGGCAGGGCACAGTGCCCACGGCCCTGCGGGCTCTTCCTCCTGCCAGAGCGAGGCACACCTGGGAACAAGGCATGGCAACTTGTGGGGAAACCGAGGGGTTTGTGGGGGCTGCATTGCTCGGAACACACCCAGGCCACCTGTGGCACAGAACCTTGGTCTCCTAAAATGTAAACAAGATGGAAACAGCTGGAAAAGGTTTCATTTCAACCATTATTTATGCTTCAATAGAAATGCCCAAAATTAAAGCTATCAAGCATGGCCTGATCCACACTGCCAGCACAGGGTTAGAATGGAGGCATTGTTTTATTTCAGTGCTGGGTGCATGTGGAATCACTTCCCTGAAACATGCACACCCATGTGTTTGTATCCATGGAACTAAGACATATTCATTATTTTGATCAAATCCACAGGCTTAACTTTCACACAAAGTATTTGACGTATTTACATCACTTCCCCACAATTATTGACATTTAGAGGAGGGGTCTCGAGGGTCTCTGGTGGTCATTTGGGGAACATCCCATTCCTGAAATTCTCCTTCCATGGTTAAGAGCCTACTAAAGCCACTTTCTTCTCCTTGAATGCATTGCAGCTACGTCCTCAGTTGGCCCACTCTTTTTATTCTCAAGGCTAAGATATCCACTTGCACACATCAATCACTGGTGTGAGGGAATGCAGGACTAAGCACTGTCTGTTAAAGCTTAAGGAATTCACAATTTGTTGCAAGTAAACACTTCCCCAACACCCCTCTCTGTTTTTTCTGGGAATCAAACGCAAGCATTTTGTGATCACTGAGCCCAAGGCCGCCTCCAACTCTCCTGTCACCAACCAGCCCTTCTCTCTTCTCAAACAGCAGGTCCAGTGGTGCCTCCCCTCACTGGCTCAGTCACCAGCTGTGTCAGAAGTTCTCTGTCACACGCTCCAGGAACATCCTGGACTCTTAGTTCTCTGCTGCACTCTATTTCCAGCAGACATCCCCACCCTGTTCCATACCCCTTGCAGAGCCCTGCACCTCCTATCCATGGGCACCTGGGAAGGGGGGCCCTCAGAGAAGAACTGCACCCGCTGCACTGGGAGCAGCCAAAACCCCCTCGAGTCATAGCTGCAGGCCTGTATCTGCACAGGATGCTCTGGCTGCCCCACTCCTCATGGACTTTTGGCTGGAAATTTCTGCCTCATGCAGAAATGCCACTGCTGTGCAAACAACGGCCAGTGAGCCATATCCCAAAGGCATTGCAGTGTGGGGCTGATGAAGGAAGAAGACCCTTTCTCAATTCCTAACCATACCAAAGCCACCATAAATGGACGTTTTCATCTTTAGAAACTGAATGCAGAGCTCATTCACAGGGTGACAAAGAGTGGAGTTGAGGTTTGGTAGAGTTTTTTATTCTGAGTCCTACTCAGGCTGTTGATTTAAACATTTATTTTAAAATGCTTTTTAAAAGGCTGTGCAGTCTTTGTTCTAATACCAAAATGGCTATATGAAATGTACTGGCATTTTAATTACATCCAAACTGATAAGTCTGTAAAAGCTTTCCAGCAGAATAGCCACTAAATAAGAAAGGAAAAGGTAATCTGTGGACTACTGACCTTGCAAATTTCTACTAAACTTTTTTAGTTAGATCATAGACCACATTAATTCCTGTGGATAACTTGGTTTCCATAGACCTGTTGATTTCAAAGTAAAACTGTCAGCACGTACTAAGTGGAAATCTGAATACTCAGTTCCATGAGGTCTAATATTAGATACTCATTGTTCACCATATTAACAAAATTAACATTCTGGCTATATTTTTTACTTAGAATCAACTCTTCTCTACTCTTTGTAACACCAGAAAGAGAGTTTATAGCAATGTGAACCATGGGTTGGTAGGGCATTACAGAAGTGTCATCACTAAATGTTCACATTTACCATGGCATCACTTCTTGCCTTTAATCCCAAACTACAGCTCAGTTCCCACTTGTAGTCTGTATTTGCAGCTGGTTCTTACTTCCCTGTCCAGAAAAAAATAATGTTTGGATCTCAAATCCAAACAAAAAAGAGGGGAGAGTCAGGTTCTGGATAGGTGTAGCAAGAACTACTGTTACAGTGTGCTCATGGGCACTCTGTGCCCCCTTCCCTGGGACCCTGTGACTCTGATCAAGATAACCCTGAATCCCTCCTTCCTGCCCCAACGGGGTTGGCGGAGAGCCAGAGAAGCCCACCCTGTCCAAAGTCTATATAGACCTCTGACATTTCCTGTTCGTCCTCTTTTGCCCCGCTCTCCCCTAGGACATCACAGAATAAAGAGAGCTGCACCAACATTTATCGGGGTAAGAGCCTCCTTTGGAAATCTTTGCCATCTCCTGATATTCCTCCCCTCAAAGCCTCGGATCTCTGGGCTAGCCTGATAATTCAGGGGGCTGTGAGGGGGGGAACATCAGTTGGTCCCCAGCGCGTGCTGCCATAAGCCCACGAAGGAGCTGGAGATCCTACTTCAGAGGATCTCGATAGCTTTTTGAGACAGTCAACTGCCCTATTACTCTAGCTGCCTTTAAAGGCTTTGAGTGAAAGGGAAAGGTCGGGGACCTCGCCTGCATACCCCAGGCGAGCTGTCTGGAGACGGACCCCAGATGAGTTCACAGACGAACCCCACAGTTCATTGGCTTGGTAAGTCCTCCAATTGCGTCATCCCAGGATCTCGCCTGGCTGGGAGGATCATTACCACAGTGACTGCAAGGAGCTCCTTGCGAGGGTAGCCAGAACCCTGCGCACGCCAGCTTGGAACCGGCGGGCTGTTTGGAGCAGAACGGACCGCTCTGACTAACAATACCCGCGTTCCTGAGGGGAGAAGTGACGGGACGGAGCCAACAGCAGCTCTGGCACAGCGGCGGGAGAAGCCCCCTGTCCCAGAGTTCGGGCAGGAGCTGCTCCGGCAGCAGCAGGACGAGCGTCCCGACACCCCCCCCCCCCCCCCCAGCTCGGATTTCCGTGCTATGGCGGGAATTCAAACAATTTGTCCGGTGTTACAAAGTCTGGTGGAGAATAGACCAGCGATACGATTAAAATAATAGGTGCAAAAGTATTGGTGGAACAAAAAAGCACACTAAAACACCTTAGCAGTATTTTAAACAAGGTATCATTCTCAAATAAGCTCCTCCTGAGTTTTGTGTGCTGGTTCCTGGCAGAAATACCAAATTTTACTGTGCAAGAACAGAATTTGCTTTCTTTTTGGGACCAAATTGGACAGATACTAACTTTAAAAGTCGAAAATG